AAAAAAAAAAAAAAGGACAGGAAAGGAAAGACAGAACTTCATCATAGAAATGAAATGGACCATAAACTTTTTTAATTGTTACCATATCAATGCTAATTTCCTACACATTTAGCAACATATCTTTAGATTTTTCTAATCAGCTTTATGGCCGAGTAATGTGTGGACTTTTTCCACTCCCCAAATGACCATGTTTGCAAACTCAGTCATATATGGTAAACATCCATAGAACCACACATTACTATTCACATTCTAATTAGCTCATTTGCAAAGACTCCCTGACTTTTTTTATAAAAACTCAATTCTATCAGCCTGTTTCTTGTATTATTTTCAAGTGTTAGTTTAGACATTGAGCCAGCAAGATGCTCATGAATTAGAGTTTTATATATCATAGGCTAGTACGTATGAAAAACAGGTGAGATTCTTTTCTACTTTTTGCTCTGAAAACCAAAAACCAAACCCACTGTGATGGAGTTGAGGGTGACTCACAGTGACCCTATAGGACAGAGTGAAAAGACCCTGGTGCGTATCCACAGATGTAGAAAGCCCCATCTTGCTCACTGTGGACCTTGCAATTAGCAGCCCATTGTGGTTTATTGGTGGGTCCCTAAAGTCAAATGATGTGTCTTCCTCTCCATCAAGTTGATGTCAATACACAGCGAACCTATAGGACAGGGTAAAACTGCCCCTGTGAGTTTCAGAGGCTAGAAATCTTTATGAAAGTAGAAAGCCTCATTTTTCTCACAAGTGATGAGTACAGATAGACAATGTCTCATTGACCCAAGGAAGAATAGAAAATGAAAGAACTGAAAAACCATTTTAAAATTTTCACTTTTCATCAATACAATTCTCCCATTTAATTCTGTAACAATCTTTAGAGAATCAAATCAAATATTTATTAAAGAGAAAGCTGAGGGAGGTTACGTAACTTAATGTCCAACAGTAAGTAAGTAGGCAAGCCCAGATATTTCTCCCATTATCTTTTCAATTATGAAGCTCTGAATGTAAAAGTGTGATGTCTTCTATTGAACTTGGCTTCTAACTGACCATCTACAGATTTTTGCCTCAATGCTTTTTTCCTCAATTGGTTTTAAGTTGTATACCTGCATGAATCACTTGTCAATGAGGTTAGGACTTAAAGGTCAAGTTCACTGGGCTACAGTATTTCCACACAACTAGAGTGTTTTCACTCAACATTAGAGAAGACCTACCCTTGGGGTG